TAAAGATAGTTCTGGATCTTTATGCGGCTTATATTTTCTACAAAAGTGTAGACAATTAGTTTTGGATTTGGAAAATTTAAAACCGTTTTCAAGACACCATCTATTTATTTTATTCAAACACAACTGCAATTGCCGCTTCAATAGTATGCATATTTTTACCACGACAAGAAATGTTAAAATCATCCACAAAAGTGATCCATTAATGGAATCGTTTAAAACCTTGGATAAACTGTTAATCTTGATACTAAATAAAGTGACAGACAAAATGCTGCCTTGAGGGACACCCTGATCCTGATTGTAATGATCAGACAGGGTTGAACCCACTCGGACTTGAAATTGTCTGTCTTTCAAAACTGTGATATAAAGAGAGGCAAACGGCCTCTCAAACCAAAGTCATGTAAATCCTCAAAATGCCATGCTTCCAGGTCGTATCATAAGCTTTCAAGATCAAAGAAAATTGATACAGCATGTTGTTTACTTACTATAGCATTCTTAACAAAGGATTCCAAGCGTACCAAATGATCAATGGTACTACGATTTTTCCTGAAACCACATTGAATATTGGTTATAAGGTTATTGGTTTCAAGATACCAATTTAGTCTATTATTCACCATACGTTCCATGGTTTTACAAACACAGCTAGTTAAAGAGATCGGTCTGTAATTAGACGGATCTGTATGATCCTTGCCAGGTTTTGGTATTGGGACTACAATGGCATTACGCCATGAAGGAGGAAATTCTCCAGACGTCCATATTTTGTCAAATATATCTAAAAGTGTCATCAGACATGGTTCCGGTAAGTGTTTCAGTAGCTGGTAATGTATATTGTCATCACCCGCTGCAGTGTCATGAGCTTGCTCAAGAGCAGTATGTAGCTCATGTAATGAAAACACTTCATTATAATCTTCACCGTTGTTTGATTCGAAATTAAGTTTGGTCTTTTCCTTTTGTTTCTGATATCTCTGAAACTCAGGGACATAATTTGCCGATGAAGAATTTTTGGCAAGGGTTTCACCAATTTTATTTGCAATGTCAGATTTATCAGTTATCAAGTTATCACCATCTTTAAGATGATGTACAGCTGATTTTGAACCTTTGCCTTTTATTCGCTGAACCATGTTCCAAACCTTAGACATTGGCGTACGCGAATTAATTTTGGAGACATAATTTCTCCAAGATTGTCGTTTGTTTTGTTTAAAGGTACGACGCAGATTCATAAGAGGACGCTCAACCTCACAGCCTCCGGGCCGATAAAGAACGAGGGTTGAATTATGTATTTATAGTTAGGCCTACTGTCATTCAATTGATTTTACTAGCGCTTCAGTTACTGTTATGTAGCTTCATTACATGATCATCTAATTATCCATCATTGACGGTTTATATGTAAAATAAAGCACTCCTCCTCGGTTATGGTTGGGAAAGTAAGATCCGAGACCGGAGGGTGGGGAGAAGTAAGACCAAGAGCGCGTAGCGCTCGATGTCTTACTTCTCTCCACCCGATGGTCGAGGGCTTACTTTGCCAACCATAACCTCGGAGTCGTGATTTATCCTACACAGAAAGTATGGAATTGTATAATGAGCTTGCTACTGGTCAATGCGACATCGTCTTTTGTTGGTTACGCAGCCATGTTGGCATTTCTGGGAATACAATGGCTGATCTTGCTGCCAAGGCAGCACTCAACAAATCTGTGACACCACTTCTTATCCCATACTCTGATTACAAAGCTAGCATTAGAACCTACATCCCTGATCTGATGCAAAAGAAGTGGGACGCCCAAGTAGGTATTACCAAATTACATGAAATAAAACCTTATATTGGTTACACTCACTTGGGTTGTCAGTCCAGTTTTGAGGAGGTCATTATGCGACGATGTCGTATTGGCCACACAAGATATACTCATGAGTACCTCTTAAAAGGTGAGGATCCTCCGTTTTGTATCCCTTGTGATGAAAGAATAACGGTCAAGCATGTCCTGCTTGACTGTGTTGAATATTCCATCACAAGGGATATCTACTTCAAATCACGAACTATGAAGGATCTTTTTAGTAATATAACTTCTCATTTAATTATTGCATTTTTAAAAGAATTAGATTTGTTAACAGAGTTGTAAATAGATAAATATTTTATGATTGGATGTTTAAATTAATAACTCAGAATGTTAGTGGCTGTATCCTCAAGGGGGGTTAAAGTTCTGTAAAATTATTGTCCTCCTGAGAGGATACTTAAGTCCACAAACATTGAAACTAAATTGAAACTCTCACGCTATTTTTTAATCGTAATATATGTGTGTTTTTAAATGTATGGCTAGATTTGTCTACGTTGCTAACGGCTGAGCGGATGATGTAAATCCAGCTAGGGTCCATGCAGGAAGCAAATGTACTGTAAGACCCCACGGTCCCTAGTATGGTGATCTACCTTCAGTCGTTGGCAATCGATAGCCTGTTTTTATATTGTATTCTCATTTATAGTTCCAATATTTTAGATATAATTGCTAGTTTTAAATGGATATCTGTGATACACTAGTAGTTTTACTGTTCTTCGTCAACTGATTTTTCAATTTGTAAATTTATTGATCTCTAATGTAATTATAAACTGTTCTCGTCACTACATGGCTGAAATATTGCCGATGTGACGTTAAATACTATCTCACTCACTCACTCTATCAAAGGGATAAATATTTCAATGTGAAAACAGTTAAGGTTCTTTTTAACACTGTTAATTTTCATTTAATTATTGCTTTTTTAAAAGAAATTGATTTAATAGATGACTTTTGAATAATATGTTCGGTAGATAGATGTATTTTAATCATTGGTAGTTTAGATTTGTAACTTAGATTGTTAGTGGCTGTACCCTCAAAGGGGGTTAAAGTACCGTAAAGTATTGTCCTCCTGAGAGGGTACGTAAGTCCCAAAACTTTCAAAGTAAAATATAAAATATCACATTTTAAACGTAGTATTTGTGTTATTTTAACTGTTGGCTAAAGATTCCTACAATCGCCAGCGGCTGAAGGGTACGCTGTAAATCCAGCCAGGATCCATGCAGGTAGCAAAAGTAATGTTCCTAATGGTTCCTAGTATGGTGATCTACCTTCAGTTGTTGGCGATCTATAGCCCGTATTTTTTTTTTTACTGTATTATCTTCTTTAATTGGATTTCATAACTGAAACTTTCCACCTTGATTGCCATCAGTCTATTAATTATAACATAATAACATATGTTTATAGTTCAGCAAAGATGGGCTTCATTGGAAAGACTGGTCATCAATAATTCATTGATCAATATGTTACCCGTTTAAATATTCTCAAAATGTCAATATGAAACATCAAACCAGATATTAATGAGAGTGTTTCCGGCAGTGGTGCGTACCAATCGTATCCATCAATCGTCACACTTAGCGATCGATACTTCAGATATACTGATGTTCTCTGTGAATATTCTCCTCTAACTACCAGGAACTATTGTCAGAAACGTGCAGCATGAGTTTGGCAGTGTGGGCATTTGTTGAGCTTGTTCTCACCATCACCATGTCTTACAGCTCAGCTTCACAGTCATGTGGCATTCTGACATTTTACCAACATGAAAGTTTAGATGGACAAATGTTCAATGACACCTTCATCACTGAACGCAGTGTTTCTGACAAAGCTGCATGCTTGTGGTGGTGTTTCCGTAATCTGCAGTGCAACATGGTACTGCACAATCCAGCGTCTCAACGTTGCCGGTTATACTATTCATCCGACGTCACTGGGGGTGAACAAGAGGCAGGCTGGCAGTATTATACAGGTAACGAATGCTGTATGTCATTCTGGTGACATTCTTATTGTAAAACATGTTTTTGTTTGTTTAATCTTGAACACTGCATCCAACTATATTCAGAAATAACTTTTAAGAATAAACCTTCTGAACTGTTGTTCCCCAGCTAACACACAATGCTTTTAATCCAGCTAGGATCCATGCAGGTAGCCAAAGTACTGTAAGTCCCCATGGTCCCTAAAGTGGTGATCTACCTTCAGTTGTTGGCGATCCTCCGCCTTTTTTATATTGTATTGTCCTAATTTGAAATCCTCTTTTAGTGATATGTGCTAGTTTTATTTCTTGTTACTGTGATATACTAGTTGGTTTTACTGTCCTTCGTCGACAGGTTTTTAAACTTTGTGCACTTATAATGAATTTACAACTATTTTAAGTCACAATATGGCTGAGATATTGCCGATGTGACTATAAATTTTAACTCACTCACTCACAATGCTTTTATATCGTTTTTGGAAGGTTGTACATTTGTAACGTTATGTCATAACGTTACCATTACTTCTTTTAACTTCACAACATTACAGCATATACATACATACGTTGTCAAAACGTTGTGCATCGATTATTACACAATGTTCCATTCTTACTAATAACGTTAATAGCACGTCACTGTGCAACGTCACGTCACAATGTTGTGACAACGTAAATGGGAGTCCACATAATAACGTTTTACCAACGAAAGCATAACATTGTAACAACCTGAATTTTTTAGCTGGGTTTACTTCTTTTAGAAGTTGAGAACATTATGGACAAAGCAAGTCGTCAAAGAAGGATGAACTACGGTACACGAATATGTATCTTACGTCGCACTCACGAAATATAGAAGTTGTTATCCATAAAGTTTGTCTACAATGGTCCAGGTTTCACAGGGATCACAATTTGAATTTCACCAAAATAACACTAAATACCCATATTTCATTTTTTCTGCTAAAATAATAAAACTGCCAGAGGCATGAACCTTGGAGTGTAACATCGATGAGTTGAGGAGCAACCTTTGAGTTTGCAGCTTCAGACTTGAGTATTCATGAAATTCCCAAATTCTTTGTTGCTCATAGCTTATTCCAAATTCTACACGTGGTCAGTTGTGTGAAGAAATGATGGAAAATGTGGGTCTCTTATCTCATTTAGAGACATTAGCTCAGTTTCCCTGGTTGAAAGGTATCAAATGTATTCATGGATGAGGGCAACTTCAAATATTTCCCACAGTACGTCAGTTAGCTCAGTTTCCCTGGTTGAAATACCTGTGAAGGTCCGGGTTAGGATATTGATCTTCAGTAACCCATGCTTGTCGTAAGAGGCGGCTAACGGTCCGGGTGGTAAGGCTCGCTGACTTGGTTGTCATCGGTTCCCAATTGCGCAGATCGATGCTCATGCGGTTGCTCACTGGATTGGCTGGTCCAGACTCGATTATTTACAGACTGCCGCCATATAGCTGTACTATTGCTGAGTGCGGCCTAAAACTTAACTCAATCACCAACTCACCCCTGGTTGAAAGGTATGAAATGTATGTTATGGATGAGGGCAACTTCAAATATACTTAGTTCAAAAGAAACGCAACATTCAAGTTTGTTTTTAAAAGTTCCATAATTGTCTTATCTGCTTTACAACCATAACGAATGTGCATGTTAAATGTTCTTTTTAAACCAATTTTCGAAATTAAGCTTCTGAAACAAGGCTTTTAACGTCAGATTAGCCGTAACAACTGAATTTAATTATTGAGCATTTTTATGGGGAAAAAAACAGAAACGCATCACATTAACGCATGCCCTGACGCGTTGTGCACATGAATTTAATGATACAACACTTTCTTCAAGAAAAACGAGAGAAAGAACCCTTTAAAAGATGCGACGACAGTTTCTGTTGGTTTTTTTCTGAATGGTTTAGAGAACAATATGCCACGTCTGAGCAATGAAGCACGTCTACGTGCTCTTGGGATGATTGATGCTGGTTCCAGTGTTGTCAACGTTGCACAACTTATGGGAGTACATCGGACGACAATTTACCGACTGACTGAACGCCAAAATCAAACGAATTCGGTGAGAGATCGACCTAGAGTGAGTGAGTGAGTTAAGATTTTAAGTCACATCGGCAATATTTCAGCCATATCGTGACGAAAGCAAGTTATAAATCTATCAACAATTTAAGTGAAATGATAAAATTCTGCCGACGAAGGACAGTAAAATAACTAGATTATCACAAATATACATGTAAAACTAGTAATTGAATCTAAAACATTTTAACTAGAGGGGACAACACAATATAAAAATGGGCTATAGATCGCTAACCACTGAAGTTAGATCACCATACTAGAGACCATGGGGACTTACAGTACATTTGCTTCCTGCATGGGCCCTAGCTGGATTTACATCATCCCTTCAGCTGTTAGCAATTGAGATAAATCTAGCCATACATTAAAATTACACATATTCTACGATTAAAAAATGGAAAGTTGAAATTTACTTTGAATGTTTTGGGACTTACGTACCCTCTCGGGAGGACAATAATTTTACAGTACTTTAACCCCCCTCGAGGATACAGCCACTAACAATCTGTGTTACTAATTCGAACTTCCAATCATAAAATATTTAGCTATTTACAAATCTGTTAACAAATCTAATTCTTTTAAAAAGGCAATAACTAAATGAGAACTAACATTATTAAAAAGATCCTTCAATGTTTTGACATTAAAATACTTATCCCTTGTGATGGAATATTCAATGCAGTCAAGCAAGACATGCTTGACTGTGATCCTTTCATCACAAGGGATACAAAACGGAGGATCTTCGCCTTTCAATAAATATTCATGAGTATATCTGGTATGGCCAATGCGACATCGTCGCATAATGACCTCTTCAAATCTGGACTGACAACCCAAGTAGGTGTAACCAATATAGGGTTTTATTGCATGTAACTTATTAATACCTACTTGGGCGTCCCACTTCTTCTGCATCAGATCGCGGATGTATGTTCTAATGCCAGCTTTATAATCAGAGTATGGAATAAGAAGTGGTGTCACAGATTTGTTGAGTGCTGCCTTGGCAGCAAGATCAGCCATGGTATTCCCAGAAATGCCAACGTGGCTGGGTAACCAACAAAAGACGATGTCGCACTGGCCAGTAGCAAGCTCATTATTCAATTCAATAATGTCTAATAAAAGTGGATGTTTACAAGAAATATTTTTAATAGCCTGAAGACATGAAAGGGAATCGGAAAAGATTATGTACTGTTTATGTTTAGGATGTCGTTGAATATATTTAAGAGCCGTTAATATGGCGTTTGCTTCTGCTGTAAATATAGAGCTGTTATCGGGTATTCTAGAAGATATTGTTCTGGATCCAATGACAGTGGCACATGCCACTGCGCCACCATCCTTGGACCCATCTGTTAATAAGGATTTGTATGTAGTATATTTATTTCTTAATTGACTAAATTCTTGTTTATACTGTAATTCATTTGTTTCTGATTTTTAAATGTAGTTAATGTTAGGTCAACTTGTGGCCTAACTAATTGCCAAGGTGGAGAAGAAAGAAGACGGAAGGAGCTATATTTTCCAGCTCAATGCCGGCAGCAGAAAGAAATGGTTTAATTCTTAAACCAAGAGGCGGAACAAGAGAAGGTTTTTGTTGTACAACTCCTCATAAGAAGGATTGAAAACACAGTTAAATGCAGGATTAGACTCGTTAGAATAGAGTTTTGTTATATACTGTAAAGAGAGTTTGATACGACGGTGGGTAAGGGATGGCTCATCAGCCTCAACATAGAGACTATCAATAGGAGAAGTTCTAAAGACCCAAGACAAAGTCTCAGACCTTGATGGTGGACTGGATCTAAGAGTTTTAAGTTGCTTTTACAGGCTCCACCATATACGATGGAGCCATAATCAAGCTTCGAGCGGACAAGTGATCTGTAAAGGTGTAGGAGCGTAGTTTGATCCCTCCCACCTTGAATTAGACACGACTTTCAATAAATCGAGTGCCTTCAGGCATTTAGTTTTTAGGGATTTAATATGCGGAAGAAAGGTTAAATGAGAGTCGAAAATCAGACCCAAGAACTTGGCCTGTTTTACAACCTTGATGGGAGTGCCATTTAAAAACAGTTCCGGGTCTTTATGTGGTTTATATTTACGGCAGAAATGTATGCAATTAGTTTTTGATTTAGAAAATTTAAAGCCGTTTTCAAGACACCATTTATTTATTTTGTTTAAACACAACTGTAGTTGCCGTTCAATGGTATGCATATTCTTACCACGACAAGAAATATTAAAAGCATCCACAAAAGTGATCCATCGATAGAATCATTTAAAACCTTGGATAAACTGTTGATCTTAATGCTAAACAATGTGACAGACAAAATACTGCCTTGTGGACACCCTGATCCTGATTATAATGGTCAGACAGGGTAGAACCCACTCGGACTTGAAATTGCCTGTCTTTTAAAAACTGTGATATAAAAAAGAGGTAAACGACCCTTAAACCAAAATCATGTAAATCCTTTAAAATGCCATGCTTCCAGGTGGTATCATACGCTTTCTCGAGATCAAAGAATATCGATACTGCATGTTGTTTATTGACTATAGCATTTTTGATAAAGGATTCTAATCGTACCAAATGATCAATGGTACTACGATTTTTCCTGAAACCACATTGAATATTTGTTATTAGGTTGGTGGTTTCAAGATACCATGTTAATCGATTATTTACTATTCGTTCCATGGTTTTACAGACACAACTCGTTAAAGAGATTGGTCTGTAATTAGACGGATCAGTATGATCCCGGCCAGGCTTTGGGATAGGGACAACAATGGCATTACGCCACGAAGGTGGGAAATTCCCTGAAGTCCATATTGTGTCAAAAATATTCAAAAGTGTTTCCAAACATGATTCAGGTAAATGTTTTAAGAGCTGATAGTGTATATTATCAGCTCCTGTTGCTGTATCATGAGCTTGCTCAAGGGCGGTATGTAGCTCATGTAGTGAAAACAATTCGTTATAGTCTTCACCATTATCTGATTTAAAAGTTAATCCTTTTCTTCTCCTGTTGTTTCTGGTGTTTCTGAAATTCAGGAACATAATTCGATGAAGATGAATGTTTGGCGAGAGTTTCGCCAAGCTTGTTCGCAATATCGGTTTTATTAGTTAATATATTGTCACAATCCTTCAGATGGTGAACAGTAGATTTGGAACCTTTGCCCTTAATTCTTTGAATCATGTTCCACACCTTTGAAATCGGTGTGCGTGAATTTATCTTAGAAACATATTTCCTCCAAGACTGACGCTTATTCTGTTTAAATGTACGTCGAGCCTTGGCATTTAAAATTTTGACTTTATTTAAGTTATGAACAGTAGGATGTCGCCGAAAATATTTTTCAGCTTTCTTCCTGTTCTTTCTGGCCTGTTTAAGATCGACCTAGAGATGGCAGGCTACGAGTGACGTCACACAGGCAAGACCGTTACATCGTAACGTCACATCTTCGCAACCGTTATCATCCAGCTACTGTTACAGCCCGTCAGACAATAGGGATTCACAAGAGGCCAATTTCAGGCAACACTGTGTGTCGACGTTTGAGAGCACACCGGCTACACTGTAGGAGACCCTATGTTGGACCAATTTTCACTCCACGGCACCGTCGTCTGCGCTTAGCATGGGCTCGCCAACATCAGCATTGGGGATATGCACAGTGGCAGAACGTTGTTTTCTCAGACGAGAGTCGTTTTTGTGTCCACGTTGCAGATGGGATAGTGAGAGTGTGGCGTCGACGAAATGAACGTTTCAGAAACCCAAGTGTTCTGGAAAGTGACCTCTGTGGTGGACCATCCCTTATGATGTGGGGTGGAATAAGCTGGGGGAGGCATGTACCACCTGCAATCTTCCAAAACAACGGTCAAGGTCGTGGAAAGGGTGTAACTGCACGACGCTACATTGACGAAGCCTTAAGGCCTGTTGTCGTCCCGTTCACGATAATGCCCGCGCTCAATCCGCCATTATCACAGGACAATTCCTGGCCAATCACCACATCCAGACAATGGTTTGGCCACCTCTCAGTCCTGATTTGATTCCAGTTGAACATCTCTTGGACGAGTTGGACCGACGCCTTCGTCAAAGACCAGTTCCTCCACAAAATCGGCGGCAGTTGGAGAATGTAGTGTTGAGTGAGTACAATAACATTCCCCGTTCTTTCATTCGACGTTTGTTCATGTCCATGGGAAGACGGTGTACTCATGTGATAAACAATAATGGTGGTCATACCAGGTACCGATAACATCGAATATCAGCTTAAGCTTCTAAACGTGTCTAATGCAGACTCTTCAGGTTGGACACAATATCAATTTCACCAGATCTTAAAACCACTGTCGTTGCTGTTGTCTTTTATCTTTCTTTGGTGCGTTCTGTGTAAAGCATATAGTGGCGGGAAGCATGTATGTGGGATAACAGTTCTTATTTCAAATGGACATGTCGCTTTTCTTTTGGAACTAAGTATATTTCCCACAGTACGTCATGACGCTTTCTCTTTGCAAACTAATGAGTGGGTGAGTTGGCATTATTAGGAATCTTCCAACAATATAATGACAGCGGACACCAGGAATGGACTTCACTGTGCCCATGTGCTGAATCAAACCCGGGCCTTCGGCGTGACAAGCGAAGGTTGAAATGATGCTGATGTGACTAAATGTTAGCTGATATTTACTCACTTTAACCGCTGCCCCACCGCCCCTGCAAACAATGAACAGTTTGGAACAGTTGGCAGGATAATTACTGAGAATGAATTAATCCCGTTAATCTTATCTCAATTCCTGAGGATAATATACTCAATTGCAAAAGAAACGCTAATCACGTAAAAACGGGATACAGTGGTGAATAAGGAGATCGATGCTTGTTTTTGAAAACATTCAAGTAAACAACGTTAGTCCTTAAAGTGAACACACATATAACATTATTCATAACCCGGTGTGTTTTGTGACACAGTAGCTGAACGTCCTTAGCTTGCGCTAGTTGGTAAGTGAAGTGGCATTTCTGTGTCGAGTGTAGTCTCCATCAGTCACTTGAAGGGACATGTCTCTGTCGAGTGTAGGCTCCATCAGTCACTTGAAGGCATATATCTGTGTCGAGTGTAGTCTCCATCAGTCACTTGAAGGGATATTTCTGTGTCGAGTGTAGTCTCCATCAGTCACTTGAAGGGATATTTCTGTGTCGAGTGTAGTCTCCATCAGTCACTTGAAGTGACATTTCTGTGTCGAGTGTAGTCTCCATCAGTCACATTAAGTGACATATCTGTGTCGAGTGTAGTCACCATCAGTCACTTGAAGGGATATTTCTGTGTCGAGTGTAGTCTCCATCAGTCACTTGAAGTGACATTTCTGTGTCGAGTGTAGTATCCACCAGTCACTTGAAGGGATATTTCTGTGTCGAGTGTAGTCTCCATCAGTCACTTACGTGCGAAACAGATATCACTTCTCGGAATAGAGTGGTCAGGCTTCTTGACTTGGTTGGCATATGTTGTCGTAACCCAGTTGTATATACCGATGCTTATGCTGTTGATCACCGGATAATCTTGTCCAGACTCGATTATTTACAGTCAGCCGCAACATTGCTGAGTGTGGTGTTAAACAACAAACAAAATATGTTGTAATTTCAAAAATTTGTGATAAAAGTCTTTCTTTTGAAATTCAGTATATATGTAGGTTTGGTCTTTAATTGTGAAATTATTCCATCATTTGTCATATAGGTCTTTCCTCAGTACTGTTGCGGCTTTAACTTCCATGAGTTTTTACATCAATGACCTGTACATATACGATACTAAAGCATACAGCTTATGCATTGCTTGAAATCGATGTAAGTATCTACATCGAAACGTCGCTCTATGCAATAAAAGAGAAGTTGCTTTGTGTTTTACTCATCAACTTCTGGAATGCCGATCTTACAATCTGTACTGATATCGCTGAGATATTGCCGATGAGACGTTAACTTGTAACTCACTCACTCAACGAAATACCGCGAAAACCTAGTTTCAATAATTATGGCCTATTGCTATAAAAGTTTCTCAAAATCTAGGGCCAGGACATACACCCAATTACATAGATCGATGCTCATGCTGTTGATCAGTTCATTGTCTGGTCCAGACTCTATTATTTACAGACCGACGCCATATAGCTGGAATATTGCTGAGTGCGGCGTAAAACTTCACTCACTCACACTTCAATGAAAGATATGCTGAGTTAAACAACAAACAGACAAACGAATATGGAAAAGGTTTTGCACTGTTCACCTCCAGACATGACTGGTTTAACGGGCTGAAACTTGGTTCTAATCCACATTAGGCCCGATCTCCACGGCGACGACCGTATTTAAAGCAGTTCAAAAACAGTTTGATACATGTGTAAATGATTGATTGCCTGAACTCTATTCTTTTGTTTGCGATGTTTACAATTTAGATCCTGATATGATACTACAAGCAGCAATATTCAATATGTCAATAAAATCATTTTCTGGGATTCGTTTTTGGTTTGTCGTGGATACCAACAAAAGGCAACCAACCCTGAGGGCCCTTAGATAGTGCTTGGCAAACAAACCATAAAATGCCAGGACGTTTTCAGAACTATGTGTGTCCAATTAATATACATAATAATAATCTTTAATGAGTATACATTATTCAGTAGGTAAATACCTGTCTTTATGGCCTCGAGAAATTGCAATACAGTCATCGGACAACGTGGTACATTCTCGAGTAAAATTGGTTCCTTATTGGATTGTTACCTTGAAGCTATTTACCTTCAACCCTTGTTATTGAACACTCGGCAAAAAACAAATGGTTTGCTGATTGCTGCTTTAGATATTTTTTACCAAAGGAAGGACATAAACGAAGATACTAAATCTCTGCGACTTTCATGTCATATGACAGGGGCATTTATCTCCGACAATTCGCCTGGACTTTATTTGCTCTTCTTATGTTTTCTCGTTCAGACCAGTATACATATACTGTCCAAGCCGCAAGCGCGTTTACGAGTGTACAAACGTATCCTCATCTTGATCAGCAAAGATGAAAATTAATAGTTTTGTGGTGCGATGGAGAGTGAAATGTAGGAACATGTAGGCACCTTTGTGTGTCGCAATCGATAAGATGCGTGCTGAAGCTGGTTTGGTAAAATCACGATTTTCGTTTCTTTGTTTGCTGTTTAACTCCGCAATATTCCACGTATATATCGGCGGTCTGTACATAATGAGACCTAGACCAGACAATCGTGTGATCAACATAGTGAGCATTGATCTAGGCAATTGGGGTGGATACGAGAGAGTGAGTGAGGGGATGGATACGAAAACATGTTGGTCAACCACGTCAGCGAGCCTGACTACCCGATCCCGTTAGTCGCTTCTTACAACAGGTCGTTGGGTTGCTGAAGACCAATCGTAATCCAGATTGTGTCGTCCTCACTATTTAGACTTGTAACACAAACATATGATTTCACCTGAGCATTGCTTATCGATCAAATCATGTGTATATGTAAGAGTAAATGTAAAATGTCCCTCCAATATTTTTGTTGTCTTTTTTATTATGTTTTACATTTTAAGTGAGTGAGGGAGTGAGTGAGTTGAGATTGTAAGTCACATCGGCAATATTGCAGCCATATCGTGACTATTTACAAGTTATAATGTCATAACAGATCATTATAAAAACCTGTCGGCGAAGGACAGTTAAAATAACTAGATATAATTGTAAAACTAGTATTACATTTTAAGACAATTATGCACACTATACGCAGAGCAAACTGAAACTGACCTCGAGACGGCAGAAAATATATTAGAAACAATAGATACCCCGGAAATGCAAGAAGATTTATTCGATAGACTAACGTTAGAGCCAATAACGTTTAAAGAAACCGCAACAGCCGTAAACAGCATGAAAAATAATAAGAGTCCGGGAATAGATGGATTTCCAGTACATTTCTTTAAGATTTTTTTGGGGAAAAACATTGGAAAATGGATTTTTAGGCTTATTTTAGAAGCTTTTTGCGGAAGAAAAGTTATTGGATGCTGTAAACAGAGGTGTTATTACTTGCTTACCAAAAGGTGAGGTAAAATTGGGTTTAACGTCGTGCTTGAGAATATTTCGCTCATATGACGACGTGCATTCGTATGTATGTGTATGTGCGGCTGCTTGTACTAGCCAAGACTTAAGCTGGTTTTATAGTGCTAGCCCACTGAGATACCATGCCGCAGTGAAGCATGAATACCCCACTCAGACACATTATACTGACTCCGAGCCAACCAGTCCTTGTTGTACCCATTAATGCCGAGCGCCAGGCAGGGACCAACAAGTACCATATTTTAACGTCTTTTGATATGACGCGGTCGGGGATCGAACCCGCGACCTTCCGCTCTCCGGGTGGACGCTCTAACCACTACACCACGGAGGCGGTCCCTTACCAAAAGCTAATAAAGATAGAAAATGCTTAAAATACTGACGCCCTATTTCGTTTTTAAACACTCTGTACAAGGTCTTAAGCACATGTCCATGGTCCCTAGTATGGTGATCTTCAGTTGTTGGCGATCTATAGCCTGTTTTTATATTGTATTGTCCAAATAGTGCCATCAGTTTTAATTTTCCACACTAGTTTTAGTTGTAATTGTGATATTCTAGTTGTTTTACTGTCCTTCGTCGACAGGTTTTTATAGTATACATCTATTCCATTTCGGTGTCACATGTGTTCTCGTCACGATATGGCTGAAATATTGCCGATGTGACGTTAAATAATAACTCACTCACTCACTCTTAAGCACATGTATTACCAATAGAGTACAAACACCTGAGTATCTCATTGATGGAAAGCAAACAGGAGTAATACCCGGGCGATGTATTACTGATGACATTAGAAACACATATGATATAATATATGAGCTGAAAAATGAGGATAGACCGGGCCTGTTAATTCTAATTGATTTTGAAAAGCCATTTGACACTGTTTCAAAGCAATTTATACTCAAAGTGTTAAAGAAAGAAATGATAAAATGGACAAGAATCCTCACTAACAATGCAGTGCCTTCAGGCTATTAAAACTCTTTCTTGCAAACATCCACTTTCATTACAAATTATTGAATTATATAATGATCTTGTTACTGGCCAATACGACATCGTCCTCTGTTGGTTACCCACAATGGCACCAACACAATGGCCGATCTTGCTGCCAAGGGGACACTCAACAAATCTTTGACACCACTTATTATTCCATACTCTGTTTACAAAGCTTCAATTAGATCGTACATCCGTAATCTGATGCAGAAGAAGTGCATTACATGAAATAAAGCCTTATATTGGTTATACCTACATGGGTTGTCAGTCCAGATTTGAAGAGGTCATCATGCGACGATGTCGCATTGGCCATACAAGGTATACTCATGAATATTTGTTAAAAGGCGAAGATCCTCCGTTTTGTATCCCTTGTGATGAAAGAATCCCGGTCAAGCATGTCTTGCATGACTGTGTTGAATATTTCATCACAAGGGATAACTATTTCAAATCACGAACTATGAAGGATCTTTTTAATAATATAAGTTCTCATTTAATTATTGCATTTTTTTAAGGAATTAGATTTGTTAACTGATTTGTAAATAGATAAATACTATATGATTGGAAGTTTAAATTAATAAGTCAGATTGTTAATGGCTGTACCCTCAAGGGGGGGTTAAGTATCGTACAGTTATTGTCCTCCTGATAGAGTACGTAAGTCTGGAAACTTTCAAAGGAAATTTAAATTTACCAGTATTTTTAAACCGTAGTATCTTTGTGATTTTAAATCATGGCTAATTGTTCCTACAATCGCCAGTGGCTGAAGGGATGGTGTAAATCCATTTAGGGTCCATGCAGGTAGCAAAGGTACTGTAAGTCCCCATGGTCCTTAGTATGGTGATCTACCTTCAGTTGTTGGCGATCTCTAGCCCATTTTTATTTTGTATTGTCCCAAATAGTCATGTATTTTTAAGTTAAATACCTCAAATTGTCATATTCTAGATGTTTTACTGCCCCTTGTCGACAGATTTTATAATATGTCTTGTTATCATATTAACTGTTTTTGTCACTCACTCACTCAATCACTAACACTCCTAACTCATGAGTAATTCATCTGTCCTCATTTTTATCAAAACGGACGGGGATGTTGTCAGGGCGATCCAGTGTCCTCATATATCTTTCTTTTTTGCTGAAGGGGTACTTGGAATTATGATTAGAAATAATGCCTACATAAAAGGAATAGAAATCAATAACACAGAACATAAACTAGATCAATACGCTGATGACACATAACTTTTTCTCGATGGATCGGAAAATAGCTTGAAGAGTGCCTTAGATACACTAGACACTTTTCAGTGGACTAAAGGAGAACGTTGAGAAGATGAAAGCAATATGGCTAAGACCCAAGGCAGACTCTAATATAACATTATGTGAAGATAGAAAACTAAATTGGATAAAATCTAACTTTGAGGTATTGGGTCATAAATTTAGAAAAAGACTAGAAACAATAAATAAAATACTGGCAACTGGACAAAGCCGACTTTAATAGGTAAAATTATTGTAATAAAATACACTCGTAAACTCGCTCGTTCACACGAGTTTGAACAACGCTTTGACATCGTTCATTTATCAGTGCAAACACACAAACTGACATTCAATTCTTAAATATACACAAACAAGAAGTTGTACCAAAAACAGTAAATTGTTTGACTTTAAATATTTATTTTTTGCAAGAGTAATATATACAAGAAAATACCTCTTAAAAATGAATTTAACAGACAAAAATACATGCCGTTTTTGTGAAGTAGCAGATGAAGATATTCATAATGTTTATTATGAATGTACACATGTCAATAGTTTCTGGAAGCAGGTAGCAGAATTTATGAACAGAACATGTACTAGCAGATGTGAACTGCCAACGGAAGTGGTCTTTTTTGGACTACCGTTTTATATTACAAAATCACTTGATTCTGTTTGCAAACAAATCATTCATAATAACAGTATTAACTCAAAAAACCTTTGTTTTGACTCCTTTGTAAAAACAGTCAAGGATATACATGTATGAATATTGAAAAACACATTGCAAATATGAATCTAAAAGCGAACACTTTCAGTAAGAAGTGGCAAGCTTTCATAGATTTGATATGCCAGCTACCATTGGCTGACTGTGTGATACCTATCACAATGTGACCGTCTTTCTCTTCGCTTTGTACTTGAAAAATACTATGAGTGAGTGAGTGAGTTAATATTTAACGTCACATCGGCAATATTTCAGCCATATCGTGACGAGAACATTTGATATTGAAATGAAATATATGTATATTATAAAACATGCCGACGAAGGACAGTAAAACAACTAGAATATCACAGATATGTATGTAAAACTAGTAATTAAATCTAAAACGTTATAACTATAGGGGAAAACAATACAGTATAAAATGGACTATAAATCGCCAATAACTGAAGGTAGATCACCTGGAAAATACTATGATATCATAAAGAAAATTCACTACAGTAATTAATCTTTGATAAACATCGATGTGCCTGCTGCCACCGTTTGACATATGTGACATCTACTACGACGTGTTTCTCTCTGTAGTCGACATAGTACTAAGAAGGCATTAGGTAAATGCACTACGGTGCTAATGCAGCTTCCTATCTATGGCACTATAACACAGTGTCGCATCTCCTTAGACCTGATAAGGCCTAGATTTCTGTATATAAGTTATTACACAAACTCAAAGTATTTTTCTTACTAATATCATTGTTATTTGTATTATTACTACTTGATATTAACTACAATGTGACTTTTGTACCATGTACTATGTAACAGTATTATTACATGATCCTTTGATCAACATTGGTACAACAACTGCCAGTATTTGACCTTCTTCTGCTGCAATTGAATAATACTATATATCCACCAAGTAACAATTGCTATGTTAACTTTTGATAACACTGTTGATATACCTGTTACCATTACTTGACATGCGATATATTATTATATTATTAATGAAATATTTACATAAACATGTTCTTTATAAACGTCTTTATAAAATTTCGGCTTTCTTCACATAATCCAGTCTTAGTTTCTGTGTAGTTGTTAGGAGCACTCAGAGATGTAAGCAATCAGTCTGGACCAGATAATACAGTGATCAACATCAGTAGGAGATCTGACATGATGAGGTCATTTTACGACGATGTCGTATTGGCCAGAGTAGGTTTACTTATGACTACCTGATTGAAACAGCTGTAGATGGACTTCCTATATGTATCTCTTGTGATGACGTGTTCATCATTAAGCATGTTCTGCTTGACTGTGTCGGTTTTCCAATGCAAGGTATTAACATTATCAAGCAGTAAATCTGAACGATCTATTTGCCTGAATGAGCGAGCATCTCATTATGAAGTACTTAAGAGGATTGGTTTTTATCATAAATTGAAACTGTGTATGTGTATGCCAAATTGCAAACAAATGTTGTTGTTGTTTTTTGAAATGGTGTTATGGCGGTTTTTGGTAACGAATACTGTAATGAAGAAATGTGTATTTTAAGAAACTCATTTGTAATTTGTGCTGCGAATGGACTTGTGTATGTGCACAGACTTTGTTTTGTCGCTGTATGGCTGAAATACCATTTAACTCACTCTAACAGTGAACCACTGATGACATTATGGAAAAAGTCATCTGTTTGATCT